GGTGGGATTTCAGAAGAGGCGCTGAACCAAGTGGATCAGTTTCTTAGAGAGGCGTTGGAAAAACCTAGAGAGAGGTTATCTAGTAAGTAGTAAAGGCTTTAGCTTAAAGTTGTGATTTTTATTTCTTATTGATCTGTCTGCTGTCCAAAATTAGGGTTTGGGTTTAAAGACCAAGTCTATCGTTGACCTGAATAAGATCCGCTATAACTGATGAAGTCGAGAGATGAAAAGGTTTTGATATATGCAAAAGCGTTACGGTTCTATGAACTTAGACAAGGATAGGATACTGGCGTTTTTAGGGTTCAGTTTTCAGTCAAACTAAAATTTGTCATTTAATTTGGTACTCTAAATTTAGGTTGTAATTTGATTTAGGCATGACGCCATTGCATAAAAAATGGGCACTTGTTCTTTATATTGTTGTGTGAGACAGTGAGAGGAGGATATATTTCTGGTATTCAGAGCTTGGGATTGTGTGAAGAGATCTCTTTTGAATGGTGGATGTGGTGTGAGTTGTCTTGGTGATTTAACTATGAAGTAAAACTCATGATCTTTGTTTTCTGGGGTCTAGAAGAAGAAGACATGATTTCTTTTTTTACTAAGCAGTCTTGAACTAACAGTTTAGATTTATTTTCAAAATCTGGGAATATTATTTTCAGGACAAGTAGTATTGGCACATTATAGATGAGCTGGATATGTTATTATCAATTTAGTATTTATAAGGCTAATTTGTTGATGTGGTAAATGACTCTAGTGTAGTTTACTGGAATTGATTGTATGAAAATTAAGAGTGGACCTCAAATATGTGGATTTTATTGCAGTGATAGTGTGAATTGTGTGTTTTTATCTGTACTTTTACACGATGTATTAGAAAGCGTTGTTTGCTTGTTGACATCCAACTGCCTTGGTAAATGTTAAAGTGTTTTACACCTTTTTGGTTGGGTGATATGAAACTGCAGAAAATTTAAGTGCCCATAAGAACTAAATTTTGTAAGAAGACCAAGAAGAGTTACATTTATCACTTTTAATTTCGTTTTCTAGCTTCAAGAGTGCTGTGGGAGTAGTAAGAACATGAGAAGAAGAGGAAGAATAGTGCAACAACATTAACCACAGTAACCTCAAACATGTTTGACCTCAAACAGAGGTTTGATTGTAGCAGTTTGAGATGGTAGGATCAACAAAAAGATAGACTGCAGGAGAGAGGAAGAAGCACTAAACTATAATCAAAATTCGAAAATAATTGCACGAACATTCAAACTGAACTGAACATGAAACTACTAATATTTTTAACTTCTACGGTATCATTCATCTTGATTGTGAAGGCACTTAGAGTGGGGTTGGTGTGTAGAAGACACAGAGCTGTGGAGGTCGGGAAGAGGGAGGCTTAGTGGGGAGAAGTCAGAACGGGAAGGGACTGGGTGGGATTGATGGTTCAATCTTCTGTCTCAAACACACATGGATCCAATTACACCGGATGAAGTTCAATGTTGGCATCACACTTAGGCGCTAATTAAGCTGAACTCATCAATTAATTCTGGTCTGAAAATGCTTATCGCTGACAATGCATATTTGGGAGCCCTTAAGTTAATATTAAGCTATCTTGTGTCTGGGTTTTGCCTAGGTAGCCATCTAGTAACTGACGACATTATATAACACTATTTTACATGAATCTGAAGAGCGAAAACACTTCATATCGCAAGCTAAAAGCATTATAATATTTTTGTTTTATTGTCAATGTTTGAGCCTATAAAGAATTTGGGTGGTTCTGTCTAGAAATCATTGTTTTAAATATCTCCGACATAACTTGATATATTGCACGATATATCCTTTTACAGGGCTTATCAACCGATATGGTCTCTAAATATCCTTTACCGCTTTTTTACAATTTTGGGTGATGTGTCGCTAATATGGTTGGTATATCAGCTGATATGTTGGCTGACATGTCCTTTTATATTGTTTGTCGCAAAACAACATACCACATTTGGCAATTTTAGGGCGAGATATCATGATTTTTTCCTATTATATCAAATGACATTTTGGCCTAAAAAATCAGAAAAAATGTTGCAATGTTTATTTTTACTTTTGCTTGTTTTACAAGATTGATTAATGATTCTAAACATATATTATTTATATTTTGCATGCTTAGATTTCATTAAGTATGTTGAGATTATATTTTAGTGCATTATACTATATACAAAAATATCTGTTATGGCATTCCGATATTTACCACATATCCTCGATATTTTCTTGATGTCCGCAAGATGATATGATTTTGCCATTCAATATTTTCCCCGATATCCGATATTTAAAACCTTGCTAGAAATGTGGCTGCAAATAGTTACCTGGCCTATTTATCCTTCTTAAGAGAGTCATATTATGGTTATTTTAGTGAATAAAGATGATGGTACTAGAATAAACAAAATAGAAAATAGAAGGAAGATTAAATATGATAAATTTGAGAGGCAAGGGTGAGAATGTTATAGTTCTAATTAATCAGTCTAGTTTGTGGGTCTAACGGAATGTGATTCGTTTTTGATTTTTTGAGATGTATTATTGCTTATGCTGAGACAAAATCAAAACTTAAGTAGAAATAAGTGATAACAAATTTCAAAACTGAAGCACAATCAAGTTAAACCTAACCTATAGACTGATTATTTAAAACGACATCATTCTCACCCTTGCTAAGACAAAATCAATCAGTTTACAACTTAGAAATTAGAATAGTGAAGATAACACGGAAAATTAGGAGAAAGCCCTAGCAAAAGACATATTATGATAAAACTGAGAAACTTGTGAACAGGATGGAAGAGGATTCATTGTGTTAAATTTTATTTTTCATCTCTTAGGTTGCAGCTGTTAGACACTAATAGATCTTGGGAGCATGATAATAGGCTAATAGCACTTTGTAGGTCACAGTATTCTTTCAGTTGAAGTATCATGTCTAAATGTGGGAACTCGTATCAGTTTTTCGACATTTTAAAGTTGAGGAACTATGTTTTTCTCACATGTTAAGCCTTTCGTGTGCAAATATATTGACATTTATCTCTACAGTTCTGAGGATGGAGCAAGATGTTGAGAAGTTTCTGCGCAACCCTACTCAACAGCAGTTGGAATTTCAGGCACTTCCTACCTCCTATCTTCGATTAGCAGCACATCGCATAGCCCAGCACTATGGCCTACAGTCATTGGCTCTACCAGATAATAGCATGCCTGATGGATCTGGCTCACGTATTGTGCTTCAGAAAACTTCCGAGACTCGTTTCCCTATGATTCGTCTTGCAGATATTCCTGTCAATCTCCCAAATGAGGATGGTAATGTTGCAGTTAAAGTAGCAATCAAACAGAGGCCACAGAAGGGTTCACAAAATATTAGCAATTCAAGTTCCCATTCTTCCAAGATTAATCATGTTAAAAGTGTTGAAGAAAGGAAAGAAGACTATAACAGGGCACGTGCACGTATATTTAGCAATAGCAGTAGCAGTAGTAGTGGTACCATAGGCAAGTCAGAAGTTGACTCCTTTGTGGATGACAGTTTCCAGCACTGCTCCATGATGATGCCTAGGCCTGATGAACGATTTTCTTTTGAACGGCCTGAAAATAATTCTGGAAGGACTTTGAATGGGTCTGCTTCAGGTAGCAATAGGTTGAACAGAAACAAAACAGATAAAGAGCCAGTTGTTAGCAGATACAGGGCAAGTAATAGAGTCGCGATCTTCCGTGATCGTGAGGTGGAGCGCAAGGATCCAGATTTTGATAGGAATTATGACAGGCATGTTTTTTGAGGCCTTTGTTTGTTTGTTCTTTGCTACCATTCATTTTATAATTAATGATCTATCTTCTATCATTTACCTGGTCTGAAAATTTGACATCACATTCACCTTTTGTTATTCTGATGACATGTTATGTTCTACGACATGTTGAAACATGTATGAATATTCTATTTTGTGTTATGGAGGTTGTCGTACCAATTTGGTATTATCAGGACATTCTTGGCATCATAGATTTTAGGGTAATTATTATGAAACCGCCTTTAGGGTTGACAATTTATTATGAAACCCCTAGTGTTATTTTTTCATTCTGAAACACCTTGCTGATTATAAAACTGTTAAGACCTATTTTTATTCTAAAGCTACCCTCTTTTTCTTCCTCTTAACATGCTTTCCCTTTCTCCCAGAGGCAAGGCATAGATTAGAAATTGGATGTCACACCAAATAGAGGCTAAAATCAAAGGGTTGAAGAGATTGCATTGATCTTCTATTAATTTTCTTTTTGTTAATGGTCGTGTTTACTTGGGTGTCATGTGAAGAGAGGGGAGGTGGTTTTGCAATAGTTTGAGGAAGAAGAAGAGCTTTATTGAGTGGTATTTTAGAGAAAAATGTAGACATTAAATAGGTTTTAACTGTTTTTTAAAACAACAGTGTTTTTTCTAATGAAAAAATTAACGTTAGGGTGTTTCATAATAGTGTCAAACCTGAAGGGGTTTTCATAATAATTACCCTATATTTTATTCTCTTTTCCTAATGGGAAAGGTACATACGACTGATTTTCTGTCAAGGAGCTCACATTGTTTTGGATGATATTCACAATTATAAGGCACTAAGGGCCTAAGGCAGTTGCAGTACTTGCATATTCCTGGTTTTTGGCGACCACAAGTAGTTTGTTACTAGGAAGTTCCATACAGTTGTTGCTACTGCTGTCTAGTTAGTTCTCCATAGTGATCTGTTTTATTATGGATTTTCTTTCTTTTAATCCTCCAATACGGTTACAATTTTTTTTCATAATATTTCTAGATATATGGATCACATTTAGCATTCTGGCTTGTATAATAATTGCATCTAAACCTCATCACATTATCTGTATCAGATACATGCAAAGATTTGATCCGGGCTTTGGATTTAGCGGAGGACCATACACTATGCAACCACTATTTTCACCTGCAGTAAATTACAATACAGAATTTCCACAGCTTGGTTCAGGTCCTAGGCCTCAAATTTCCATTGAACCACCACCTCGGTCTGTCCCTCAACAAATGCGTGGACCTTGGCCTGGACAAGCTGTACAATCAGCACCTTCTCCAGTTGGCTATGGTCCTGATGGTATGATGGCATCCTTCAATCCAAGTCGTGTTGGCTCTCATCCTGGGTCATCAGTGTATATGCATCCATCCCAATATTCTCTCCCACTGCGTCCTGGCGTTTCATTTGTCCATCCACATGAGCATGTTCAGCTTTTTGCACAGGTAGATGCACACATTATTTGTTTGGTTCAGATCTTCATGCATAAGGTGTTAATTGTCATGGTTGCCTTATGTTCGTTTCCAAAATTTACATGTTTTCCATTTTTTGCAATGTAGCTTGTTTGTCATTTTTTGATGTTCCCTGCCCATTAAATTTCTTCTAATTACAATTTTAATCTGTTTAGACTATGACAATACATATCCTATTGTCCAAACCCAAAATATAAAACATATCCAGCCATGTTACCTGGGTACTTCTATTTGGAAGCCGTACCCGACATGTACCCATTCCCGTATCTGTACCCAAAATTCTTAGATATTCCTTGAACATATGCATATGTTTTTTCAAGCGTGTACTCAATTATACACACTAAATCAAACGCTTCTTGGATGTATATAATACACTTCATATCTATTTCTAATGTATTGATCTCATGTAAATGAACAAAATAATATTGATCTTATGTAAATTAATAATTTTAATACATATAAATATACATAACATACATATTTATAGTAATGTCTCTGTGCCCTAACTTTTACAAATTTGACTTGTCCCATTCCCGTAGCAGTACCCACCCCTGTACCCCTGCCCATGCAACATAGATTATCCAGTTAAAATGCTACATGTGTCGGTATCATGCAGTCTGCAGAAGCTCATGTATGCACATGGCATGGCTACTTGATCTGCTTAAGAGTTGGATATAAAGGGCACCCAATCCAGACATGACTTAGCCGTCTATATCTATAATTGAGTGCATTTTGATTTTGAATTTCTTTTGTTACAGAGATTTTCTAGGTTGTCTGTGTTATCTGGGTACTTCTAATTTGAAGCCGTACCCGTACTAGACACGTGTCCGTACCTGTACCCGTACTCAAAACTTCCTTGGACACTCCTTGCATATGTGCATACATTTATGCGCGGTTGTACTCAATTATACGATACATGTTCTACTTTAAAATGGTTGTCATGCATTTTTTGGACATAATACAATTGACATTCACTTCTTGAAAACTGTTAGACACCGGTCAGGTCCCAAATTATGATTTGAAGGGTTGTTTGGATGTCTAGTTCAAAAACTAGTGATTTTATAATTTATAATCCACATGATAAAGGAACATAAATTTAATTCTCATCCTTGTTACCATGTAAATTATTAGTTCCAATATATATTATACGTGTATAAATATTTATATAGCCGTGTCTCCGTATCCTATCTTTTACAAATTTGCCATGTCCCATACCGTACCCGTACTGGTATCCGTACTCGTACCCGTATCCATGCAACATAGTAGGTTGTCAATGATTGTTTACTGCCATTTCCTCATCCTGAGCTCTCTTGGGCACATACCTGTTGTATTGAAGGATTTGACCGATACCTAAAAGGTGACATGAAATATAATCTGCTTAAATGGTTGGTGGACTGTTTTATAAAATTGATCAATACCACTACCTATATATTATATACCTGAGATTTTCAATATAACCAGTAGCCCTATAATGCTATCACATAACTGGATGATTGCTAAGTATTATTATGAAGTGTCCACAAATGCAATTAATTGTCCATGTAATATTATCTGTTCCCATGTTTGGGCTACCTGTGTGTTTACTGTCCTCAAGTGTAATCGTCATCCATATAAGATTATCTATTTCCATGTTTCGAAAAGCCTCAGATAGAAGCCTATTTTGGATAGCTGTTTCTGCTGCTTCTATTTCTACACTAGTGGGGGTGCAAACCCTTTCTTGTTCTTAAAGAATATGACAGAAACAATCGATCTGTGCATTGATGTGCACAGTAATTTCAGATTGTCTAATATCGTGGACAGATATTTTGGGCGTTTGGCTTCCTTAGGAGATCGTTTTGTTAAAGTCCACCTGACTTGTTTTTTCTTGGATTAGATCATACTTAAACCAGGGTATTTTCACTTATCTAGTTGTACAAATAATATGCATATGTTTTGTACTGAGTTTCACATTTTTCAGTGCAAGTTAACATCAATGAAATTATATTTTTTGATAGTCAACTTCTTATTTACTTCTACTGAATTTTGGATTCTTTTGTCTTATTTTTTTTAGACTCATCAACAGCAATCTGAAGCGAGTTTTGGGTTAGCTCGGCCCCGTTGAGGGGCTTGGGCATGCCTGCACCTGCCAGCGCGAACTATGAGCTTAAAACTGCGGGCTGCCTCGTTTGAGGCTTTCTTGTATGTTGGCAGGGTGATTGCAGGCATACTAGGACCGAGATTGGATGCACTACTGCACATTGAACTCACTCAGCAATCTCTGGCTTTCTCGGTTATCTTTTGATGCTTCTTGATGTTTCTTGATGTTTCGATGCAAGAAGACATATGATTAAAGATAAAGTCAAGCCGTGCTTGGCTTCAGAATTGAAATCTGCAAATTCAGCTGCAGGGGGAAGAAAGATGACACTTGCAATTGTGATATAAGCCCTCCAATTAGGGTGATGGAGGTTTGTATTCGAACACTCAATTATTCCTGTTTCATTGCACATTTCTTCCTTTTTAACTTTTTTCTTCATTCAAATTTTCTGACAAAAATGGCTACATAATTTTCTTGGCAGATGCAGCACATGCTGTCGCCATCCTCTGTTTCAGACAAGCAGTCAGGATACTGGGGGATCTTTGTCCTGGCCAAGTGCCGAGGGAAGCGAACTCTATCTTCTTCTTCTCTTTGAAGGTATGGTGCTCAAATGGTTAACTTATTCTTAATATTGAAGAGCATCATTTAAAAGGCTTTGCGTGTGATTACTATATTTAGTACCGAAGGAATTATTGTAATTAAGACAGACTGCTTTGTTAGATAACTTTTAACACTTTATGGTTTTCTACTCATATGATGCTACTATTGATGTAGTGTGTGGAAAAATCTTATGTTCTGCTTTCGCTTAGTATGACAAGAAATCTTAAAAAGTCCAATATGTTAATATTTCATTAGCCTCCTTGTGAACCTATGTTTTCTCCGGTTGTCTACTTTTCTTCACATATTGGTCTTTAAGTTCAGCAGCAACCTTGCCAGTGTTGCCTTTATGGTAGAGTTCTTGCATATCTGGTATTGACCTGTCAAAAGCAACCCTGGCAATTCCTTACATTGTTTGTTATCCTATTACATCGTCTCTTTTAATTGTTTTTTTAGGATGCTATTTTGTATTCCTTATTCGCTGTTGTCGTCTGAGATGATCTTATATTCCTTATTCTCTGCCGTTGTTTGAGATGGTTTGGTTATGTGCAATGGAGACCATTAAATATTAGAAGAAATGAGAATATAATGATTAGGGCCTGTCTGGTTCCTCAAAAAAGAAATCTGACAGTGAAGGAAACCCCCAGAAAATTGTCAAATTTCCTCATCTCGCTAAATGAAAAAAAGGAAATAGTGGAGGAAAACCCCTGCCACGTCACTCATAAAAGATAATCGGTTTTCAGCCTAAAAACCTCCGAAATGGGCAGAAAACCGATTAAGAACAATAAAAAAAAACTGGGTGTTTTTTGGGTTTCTCGCAGTTTGCCCTCTCATTTCTCCTAGGGTTTACTTTCACCCTCTTCTCCCTTTCTCAATGAAATCCATCGCCGGTTCAATGAAGGTGATCAATATCAGAAGCTCCGACAACTACAAATCGAAGAATATGATCAAGCTCAGAAGCTCCGATGGTGTCGAATTAGAGATCGAGGAGGGCAGTTGCCAAGCAATCAAAGCTGATTCTTGGTATGATCGAGGTCGACTGCGTTGGCAACGAGATCCTGATCTCTTTCAGGTCCATTTTCGTTCGTTTTAGGGCTTGATGTGTTTGATTTATATGCTATATCCTTTATTGCCATCTTAATAATGTTTGATGAATGATTGGTTCTTGTAGTTATTGTGTTATTATTTTTTATGGAATTATATTATTATATTATTAGTTTGGTGTTGCTATCATTTCTTTTTTGTTTGTTAATTTTGTGGATTTAATTTCTCGATTAATCTACATTGCAAGCCTGAAGAATTCTGTTTGCGGTAGAAATTTGATGAACAATTGATAATATTAAGCTTATATTTGGGCGAGATGGCTATTCTCTCAGTTGTACCAATGAAGGGATCTGTCCCTCAAATCTTGAAACATCTTGCAAATTACTACCTCAAATTTAAAATTAGTCCTGCAAATCTTTAAACGTTTTGAAAATATGCCCTTAAATGTTCATATTTTGAAGTTAGTCCCTCAAATCTTTAATCTTCTTGCAAATTACTACCTAAAATAGTTGTTGGGTGTACCGTTCCAAGTACTTTTTGTGTGGTGGATATGTTTACCTTTCAATTTATGTTGACAACAATTTTGTCCTATATGGATGGTATGCAGACCAATGTGACCACAACCATGGTTTTCTTTTCTTCTTTTAGTTTGAGCCGAACAATAGAAAATAAGGGAATCTATTTACACATCAATTGATTTCTTCCTTTTTCAAGTTGAACCGAATTAAAGTAAGTGGGGGGAAATTACTTATACCTCATGTTTTTTTGAGAAAACAAGCACAAAGAACACTTTTCCATGAAAGTAAAGGAAACAACAAAAAGGTAAAGCTAGGCCTGTCCATCGGGGCCGACCCGGTTCGGAAAATCGGGGCCGGGCCGGGCAAAACCGAAGCTCGGAACCAGGCCCGGTTGCCCCAGGTCGGGTTCGAGCCCGGGCCTGAGTAGGCCGGGCTCCAGGCCGGTCCGGGTTTTCTTTGTTTTTTATTATTATTTTTAATTTTTCAAGAAGACAACAAAAAATAAACACAATTTTGATAAAAAATTATATTATTAATCAATTGCAATTATGTAATTTACAAATATAAAAAATTATAAAAATTAAAATGATAAAATAATATAAAATAATTGTAGAATTTATAGAAACAAATAAAATTAAACATAATTGTAGAATTCAAAGAGCTTAAGACCCAATCAAAGACCTCTAAATATATATGTTGTGGCTAGGATTTGAACCACTAACCACCTCTACAAACTCTTAAATATTACCACTAGACTATGTAGCCCAAAGTATTCATGTCATTCAATATATGTATATGTATATATATATACACACACACACACATATATATATTATACATAAACAAATTGTAAATACTTATAGAAATTACATAAACAAATTGTATTATACATAAAATATATATATATATATATATATAGATTAATGGGTATCCTTGTCATAGGAGGGGATTTCCTCCTATGACGTCTCTAAAATTACATGATTGAGCGACATTATGGATGATCCGCTCCGTTGAACTTGATCTACATATTCTAAAACCCCAACACACCAAGTTTGGGGTGAACCCGTCGTCGTTTGACCCTTCATCCACTCGTATCAATTTTAACGGTTTTGAATGAATAGAACTTTTCACATGGCTCGATGGAGGATAAAACGATGACGGATTCACCCCAAACTTGGTGTGTTGGGGTTTTAGAATATGTAGATCAAGTTCAACGGAGCGGATCATCCACAATGTCGCTCAATCATGTGATTTTAGAGGCGTCAAGGAGGAAATCCCCTCCTATGACAAGGATACCCATTAATATCTCTCTCTCTCTCTCTCTCTATATATATATATATATATATATATATATGTTAATGTTATATTTTAATTAAGAGTGGTGAGAGAGAGAGAGAGAGATTAATGGGTATCCTTGTCATAGGAGGGGATTTCCTCCTATGACGCCTCTAAAATCACATGATTGAGCGACATTGTGGATGATCCGCTCCGTTGAACTTGATCTACATATTCTAAAACCCCAACACACCAAGTTTGGGGTGAATCCGTCGTCGTTTGACCCTCCATCGAGCCATGTGAAAAGTTCTATTCATTCAAAACCGTTAAAATTGATACGAGTGGATGAAGGGTCAAACGACGACGGGTTCACCCCAAACTTGGTGTGTTGGGGTTTTAGAATATGTAAATCAAGTTCAACGGAGCGGATCATCCACAATGTCGCTCAATCATGTGATTTTAGAGGCGTCATAGGAGGAAATCCCCTCCTATGACAAGGATACCCATTAATAATTATATATAATTATATATAATATATTTATATTATATATGGAGAAATGTTTTTCTAATTTGAATCACCTTAGCATTCCACCTAAGGACACAGTCTAAAATTCACAATCATTCCCTAATTTTTTTTTGTGATCCCGGCTTCGTGAACTTGATCTAACGTTTTTAAACCGAAACACACAATTTTGGGGTAAACCCAATCGTGTTTTTGTGGACACTTGCACCACCCTCCACCGTGGAATTTTAAACGTTTTGACATGATAGAACTCTTTCTGCACGGCTCTATCAACGGACTATGGTCAATAAACACGACGGGTTAACCCAAATGACTGCGATAGCTCTGATGTTGGCGTTTCTAAGAAGACATAGATTCAAGTTTAACAGAGCGGATCAAAAAAAATTTTAGGAATAACGGATTTTAGCTGAGTCCTTAGGTGTGAAATTCTAATTGTGGTGCACCTTTTGTTAGGAAAAACTAGTTACCCCCTGTATTATACAATAGTAAGTATCAATATATATATATATATATATTATTCAACTTAATCCGTTATAATCTACTATATGATTTATTATAGATTACCTATTATATCATGAGAAAAAGTAAGTAATGCTTAGTATACCAAGTATAAAAAAAATTTGTGTACTTTGCGTTAGTGAGGTGGACACAATCCCCTCCACTGATTTCAAATGTTGATATCCTAGTTACACTCTCCAAACCTGATGGCAAATATGGTCTCCCATCATTAGATGATTTGTGGACTTGGTTATTTATGCCACCTCAGGTAATCGTCAAGCATAAATTTAATGCTTGAAGGCGTACAAAGCTATACCCATTCATTTTTCTCTCTACTATATAATTAGCATAGCAAGAAAACTCTGTGTCAACTTAACCTCGACATCCAACCAAACTTCTTAACCATTATTAGATGTTTCCTAGCGAGATCCTATTGCTCATGTTAGAAGTGACTTTTTGTATATATTATATGTGTGTGGATAGAAATTTGGGATAACTATTCTTATCACTTAAGTTGATAGGAATCTTGTCTATATAATGTGGCACAATCTCCACCAACTCATACTCTCACTCCTACTCTATGAGGATGGTGGAGATTGTGTCATATAGGCGTCAAGGAGGGAAATCCCCTCCTTGACAAGGATACCCATTAATCTCTCTCTCTCTATATATACACATATTATATTATACATATATAAGAGAGAGTATATACTGTATATTTATATATACTTATACATATATAAGAGAGAGTATACTTATATATATTTATACTCATACATATATAAGAGAGTCAGAGAGTACTTATACATATATATACTTATATAAGAGAGTATACTTATATATACTTATACATATATAAGAGAGAGTATAGTTATATATTAAGAGAGAGATAGAGTATATATATATAAGAGAGTATACTTATACATATATATACTTATATAAGAGAGAGTATACTTATATATATTTATACTCATACATATATAAGAGAGTCAGAGAGTACTTATACATATATATACTTATATAAGAGAGTATACTTATATATACTTATACATATATAAGAGAGAGTATAGTTATATATTAAGAGAGAGATAGAGTATATATATATAAGAGAGTATACTTATACATATATATACTTATATAAGAGAGAATATACTTATACATATATTATACATATATAAGAGAGTATATATATACACACACACACGCACACACATATATATAAATATATTATATATACATTA